CCTCTGGTGCTCTGGTGAACAACCTGCTCCCCTCTGCCTTGTGGCAGCCCCTCAGATACTGGAATACTGCTATCATGTCTCCCCTATTTCCTCTTTTCTTTAGACTAGCCAAACCCAAGTTCCATAGCTGTTCTTCGTATGTTTTAGTCTCCAGGCTATGAGGAGGAACATTTTGTGGCTTGTTCTTAACCATACATGCTGAGCAGTGCTGTTCTTCTACCTACCATTGAGGACATGAGCAGCCTGGGACCCTCCTGAGGGTTGGACTATAGTTATCCTCTGCTCCAGTTTGTACAATAAGGACTTATAGGGCCCCAAGCTGCATTCAACTTTACATGGATGAAAGTAGCTTTAACAAAGCAACTAAGGCCATCTGAAATAAATTTAGCTTGGGTGCCTTAAGGCCTTTTGATGCAATTCAGTTAACTCTAGCACAAACTATAAAGATCTTTTGCACAAAAGCATACAGACTACTCTTGCTTCTGTAGGAATCGACACTTTCTAGCTGGTGGTGTCACTTGCAGCAATCTCATTCTGAAGGTTACTTGGAGGCAGTGCATCAGAATGCAGTTCACTTGATTAACTCTAATTTGTAGGTGTAGATTAGCTAGCATGTGGTTCAGTGCGTCACACCAACAAAGCCTAAAAATCATCCTGAGATAACTTCAGAGTGAGTTCTGGGGAAGGAGAGAATGGGCCTTTTCAAAGCTGAGCCCATTTCCAGATGAAGGAGTCCTACTTGAATCAAGCTACAAATTCAGCATTTGCATTTTGCCCTGATCTTCCGATTTCTTTTTTCAGGTGAACAACTTCAGGTTCAGGAGTGCCACAACAGTCATCAACCCCCAGGACAATGGTTATGAAAACATTGCAAACAAAACTTGACAACATTGTGCCAACAGCTGAAGATACTTTATGACTTTGGAGGAGAGACATCTGCGTGAAAATTTTCCCCTGAGCAAGCGCTAGATGTAGTTCGACCTACATCACAAACTAATCTCAAATGGGATTGAAATAATGAATCAACATGTGTAGCAAAATCTCAAAGTGGTCGATCAATAAAATCTTTATTGTACTGTGCTTTTATTTGACAGGGTGTGTTTTGTGCTTGGAAATACATAGCACATTGATCAGGGACCTGAAATGCTGCAGCTGTTCTTCAGCATTATGCATAAAATTAATATTCATCTTGAGCAAAACCTAACATCTCTTGCATATGCCTCACTTTCTGGTGAATCTCTTTGAAATGGTTCATCCACACTGATCTGTAGATGGGCTGCCACTGTCCCCAGTACTGTTAATAAGGGTCATTCCTCACTTGCACCTACCCATGGCATAAACTTACCCTGGAAAGATCTTTCTTTCTGATGGGTCCCTGTGGTGCGGCTTTCATTTCACCTCCAGCCCATAGGTAAAATAACCTTACATTATCCTTGGCTCTATTGGTGGTGGCAACAAAAGCCACAAAATGTTTATTAAACACTCCCACTTACTGAGATGAAGTCATAGGGATAGGGATAGTCATAGACAAGTTTGTTTAGTGTAGTGGTGAAGGTGTTGGCCTAGAAACCAGGAGACTGTGAATTCTAGTTTCGCCTTAGGCATGAAAACCAGCTGGATGACTTTGGGCCAGTCACTCTCTCTCAGCCCAACCTACCTCAGAGTTGCTGTTATGAGGAAAATAGTAGTAGTATTAGTAGGTTCACCATCTTCAGTTGCTTATAAATAAAAGGCAGGATAAAAACATCCTAATAAAAAAATAAAATAGGGATCATTTCAAGCTTTGGGCCCACAATCAACTTTGTCACCCATTCTGCTATTGTATCCCTAAAGGATGGACCCAGTAGCCGATGTGCCTTCAGATTCACACAGCCCTGGCAAAGCTGCATCTTTTAGCATTGGGTTTCTCCTTGTATTCTTCTGGCAATCCAATTTCACACTGGACTAATTTAGTGATGACTTAATGGTGGATAGACAGCACTAATTCAGCAAAAGTGAAATGGTCTAACAGGAGCAGACACCTCTTCCTTCCAATAAAGTTAGGTGGTTTAAAGTTTCTGTAGTCTACCAATATGCCCAAGGTTGAAAGTGGGGTATTTTTGGAACCATAAACCTAGAAGTTTAGGAACAGGTTGTTTAGCTTCCAGCACCACCACTGATCGGGCCATAATCAACCTAAAGCCTACCTCTTCCCCACAGCACACCTACAGTAATATTCTGAGCAGCTATCGCTGCAACATATATTGTTAACATGAACCTGATGTTTTTTTCCCCCTTTTCTATTAGGAATGCATATTCTCCTAGATCTAGAACTGAGAGATTTCTGCCTGAAAGCCCAGAGAGCTGTTGACAGAGCTATGATCAGTATGGACCAGCAACTTATCTTTTAAAGTCAGCCCTACCACTCTGGCTATGATCTTGTCCACCACTGGAATGCAACTTCAGAAAACCAAAAGATAATTCAAATCTGGTGAAGACAGTATGGTGCCATCTTCTCTGTTCCTGTGTTCCACTGCAGGTCCTTCATCCAAGTACACGGCAGAATAAAACAAACTGGTCAAAGAATATGTAACACCCAAGCTAATGGTATGGAGAAGCAGTGAAGCTAAGGTTTGGGAAGGAAAGCAAGCCGAGTTTATTCCAATTACTGAAATAGAACACTCACACAAAAAGGAAAAGACACCACACTGTAATGGTAAAAAGATACAAGTTTATAGCATCTTATAAAAACTACAATTTAAAAGTGATCCTGTCCTAGGGTAACACAACCCTGCCCCAATTCCCTTCCCTGCGAAATCAGTTGAGTTAAAGGGAAGGAAAATAAATTATCTTAGAAAAAGCTATTGGACCTTCACATTCAGTCCACAGGGTATCTGGTCAGGCTGAAGTGCTAGATTGTTTTCTTCCTTTCAGGAGGACTATGTAAAAGCCAAAAAATGAACTGCAAGAAAAGATCCGTCACATTTTCTTCCTATTTGAACAAACTCCTAAATTAAGACCAGCAGCAGCACATCGGAAAGCACCTTAAGGCACCCAATCCATGTGACAAGCACAATTTGTCCTTCTGCTACCAGCACCCAACGAAAGGAATGGGAATAGCAACAGTTCCCAATGGCATCCACTGTCAAAATGGGATTTCTCACTTCCATGGAGGGAAGTTAGTATGATGGAGGACAAGGGGCAAATAAAGCTCCTTCAAAAAATGTGCCCTTGGCTACACTTTAGTGCAACACAAATACAGGCACTCCTCAGGGTACACAAAGTTCCAATCCACCTGACTTTCACACAGGTTGGCTTGCATACACTGTCGTTTTGCACACACAAAAGACATTACCTGTCAGAATTACAGAGGTCTGGACTTGTATATCTCCTGGGGGGGGGGCTGTGTGTATAAGCAACATATTCAGGTTGGACAAAGATAACAGGGGAAACTCATCACACATACACTCTAAAGACTGGCTTCTCCATCTCCAGGAGAGACATTACCATAAGACTGTGTTGGTAAAATTGTCTGTCTCTTATGTTCCCACAAAGGAAGCACATTTTCACATTTTCCATTTCCATTCCAAAGAACCCCATTTTCCAGTCTGCCGTGACCTGGAATTGCCAAGCCATCCAATTCATCCATCTCTTTGATACAAACATGTCAAAGCAATTCCATCCATTGTGCTGGTACTGAATATTTTAAAACAGTACATTGTTTTTACCTAAAAGCTAAGTCTCACTTTCCTGAACCTTGAGCATATTAGTTCTCTTTTCACCTCACTGCCTCTGCATAATTTTATTTGAAAAAAAAAATAAATCGTTCTGATATGGTTTTGGTCCCTTGCACTTTAAAGAGTGGCAATCAGTGAAACTTCCAGGCAAGTTTCACTTCCTTTCAATTTCATCTCTGCAAAGAAAAAGAAAAAGAAAATGCAAAGACCTTAGTGCAATTATAACCACTGCATTAACATTTCGAGTCGAGATGAACCAACAGCAATTAATAGATACTATCAATTTCATTAGGGAGGGTCAAGCTATTTGTTTAAATAAAACCTCCTTCCACAGAAAACTGTTTCCCCCCCATTTCGCTAACTTACTGCCTGCAGGCGATTTAACAGAACAAATGCTTGAACCGTATTATTCTGTCCAATTATTAAAATTATTCACTGAATTGTTATAGTTACTCTTTCTGCCTTCTCCCCCATCAACACCATCATACTGTACTTCACTTCTGAGCAAAATTCAGCAATGAATCTCACATGTAATTTGTTTTTGAGGTTAACATTCTTCTTCCTTCACTCCTGAACAAGGAAAGAGAGCTGGACAACAGAAATTGTCAGATACCAATTAATGCCTATCTAGATTGTTGATAAATGACTGCGCTGGTCAAGAATGTAGAATTCCTCTCCCAGAGTACATCGTGTTAACTAGCCTCCCGAGTTCCTATGGCAGCACCCTAGCAAGACGCAGAGCCTAAGCAAGACACATCCCTGTGTTACTAAAGCTGCACATGCTTTAGAGGACCCCAAAGAGCCAAGTCATTACTCTGCTTGGCACGTAAAGGATTCGGCAGTATGAGGCGGTTCACTCAAGAGATTCACCTCGTCTCTTAGGGAAATACTAGGCAACAGTGAATATGCTTTATAATGCCATGTCTCAATTATTGGATTAGGACCAGAAGGACAGAAAAATACATCTAGTACTTGACAAAGAGATTTCATCTACTCAAGCAAGTTTTTTTTCTCCCACCTGAGCACATTGCTACTTTCCCCTGAAACAGTTACATTCCAATTTCCTTCCCCCCCCCTTTTTCCTAAATATCTACATTTCCTCAAACTTTTCCCTATAGCAATTATTTTATTTCCTTTTGGTGAAAAACAATCCTCAGGAAACTGAAAGATATTAGGGTGGTATGTTTTTTTTCTAAAGAGCAGCCATTTTCATTTTTATCAGCCCCACCAAAACTGCAACAAACCTGTAGGAGTTTGGGATGTCCTAATCATTCCTAGAAACTGCAAACTAAAAGCCGATGTTAATTTTAGGCTGTGAATAATATTGGCTCTTCCAATGAAGAAGGGAAGGGGAATCAAAGAGCTTTTATTAAAAAAAAAAAATGATCTCCTCTACAGTAACATTCCCCAAGCTAATGTTCTCCAGATTTATTGGATTACAACTCCCATGATCCCTAGGCAAGAAGAAAGATGATCAAAAGAACAATGCCTCTTGCTAGTACACTGGAATCTCTTAAATAGTTGAAAGGAGGGGAGGGGGGGGCAACAATCTTGAATTTTTCAAATTTGGCAATTTTTAAGATCAGCTCCCAAAATTTCCCAGCCACACATCTGGGAGTTAAGAAGCCCACACATCTTAAAAGTTGTCAAGTTTGAAAAACAGTCATCTAAAGTATCCCATCTGTGTTTATAAAACCTTTCTAGTTGCATAGGCAGAAATGCAGCCCCTCAACAACGAAGCTCTCCAGCATGACCAAAGATCACCATTCCTTTACCAACACAGCCCTTGGTTAAATCCTATCTTAAAGCAAGGTACTTTAAGCAAGGCATAACTCAAGAGAAGTTAATTCAGGGAGGGATGTATTTGAAGCCCAAGTGGGATTTGCATCTATCATTCAGATGGAAGGTGTTCGCTCCTCTAACAAGTTTATTCCAGACTCAAGAGACAAATTATTACTTGCCCTATAGAAAGACCTTTGTAAATGTTGACGGTGGGGGACAAGGGGTTTGGGAGGGTTCCTGCTGTCCCTTGCAAACCTGCCACTGCCTGTTGCAACTATGCTGAAATAATAACATATATATATATATAAAATTGCATATTGGCAACAAGCCTTATTTTCAAACTTCAACGAAGCATCCCAGGAGCAATCAGAATTCATGGTGCATGGGAATGCTGACCCTTAGTCCTCCTAAGGAGTATTTTATTCCAAGTGACATATCAAGAGGTCCTCCCCTCCTCTCCCCCCACAGAGACCACAGTTCTTCAGCATGAGGCTTAGGAGATGGGTGCCCACGGACTAGAGCTGGCGCTTCATATTATTTATACGGAAACAGGATTGCCGCCTAAGAAAGCTCTGAATTCCACGTGAAAGGATATGTAACAGGTAGGTCCTGAATGGATGGCTATTTACAAGGGAAAGCGAAGGGATCGCACACAATTATCCTCCTCTCCTGGGAGGAAAACAGAGCCTTCCAGCCAGCTGAATATCAACCGGATCTTGATAAATGGAACACATCTAAGGTAGATCTCTATGTCGACCCAACAGCATCTGTCACCTTCTGCAGCCCTTGTTTCTTGAAACCTGAAAGTTGAGACCACTAATCACGGTTAAGAGAATAGCACGGAAAGAAAAAAAAAGTCCCATAGACCTTATGCCCAAGCGTAAATGAGACAGTCTCCTGTGATGCCAGAGTGCAGTATCCTGCTGCTGCTAATCCGTTCCAGGTAGTGGATCAGCTCCGCAAAATAGTTCGCTGCTCGACTGGCGGTGATCACTGTTTTTGTTTCCCCCCCCCCATAAAATATTTGCCTGTTGTTCTCCCACTTTTGCAAGCCCAAATATCAAGCCATCTGGCAGATCGTCTGTTAATTGAGAGCACCGGATCTGGTCGGAATGGCTCGCAGAAGGGCCCCCCCCCCCGCAATGCTTTCAAAGCCTTTCCTGAGGCAAATGGTGATAATTTCAAAGAAACTAAACAGAAACAGAAAGCGCACCCTTGGCAATGTTTATCCACAACTGCAGCCAGCGTCCCAAAATGGCTGGGAGCCAGCCCTGCTTTGTCCTCCATTTATTTACAGTGTCACGACCATAGTTGAAGTCTGTGCCCACTTTCAGCTCTGCTCCTTCCACAGGAGTAGGCTCAGCAGGCAAACCCAGGCGCAAAACACAAGCAGGTGAACAAGCCCACTCCCAGAGCATCTGGTGGACGTCCCGGCTCCTTCTTAAAAAGCCTCTTCTCTGGCCCAACTCTAAAGCAGTAGCTGGGAGTCGGATGCTTTGCTGGGGCAGCCCTGGCACATTCGTTTGTGTCTCAGCAACCGGTCTGTCCTGGAGAAGCTCTGTGAAAGGGAAAGGAGAGAAAAAATAAATCCGGAGAGATGACCAAAGAGACAAGACTCTATGCCAGAGGTGGGGAACGATGGTTCCTTTATGACTTGTGGACTTCAACACCCCCCCCCCAAGAATTGCTAAACCAGCAGGAAGTCCACAAGGGCCATCGTTCCCACCCCTGCTCTATGTAAAACCAAAAGCAAAGCCATAAACCCTGTATTGTAGGTCAGGGCTTTTCAACCAGTGGTACGGGTTCCACCTGTGGTACATTGGCACCTGGCAGGTGGTACGCAACCATCCTAGAAAAGTGGTAGCAGGGGAGGGGAATGAGCGGAACCGATGGCAGCACCGCACAAGCCTGAGTGAGAGATGGCTGGAGCTGCAGGGCTCTCAGGGCTCAGTGGAAGCGCCAGGATCAGCGCCAGGCTCCAGCTGGAGCTCGGCATTGATCCTGGCACTTCTGCTGAGCCCAGAAGAAGCGCCGATCAGCTGGAATATTGCAGCATCTCCAGGGTCTTGTGATTTACATTCAGATGCTTGGCAACTGATTCATATTTATGAAGGTCACAGTGTCCCAGGGTCATGTGAAATGACCAAAACCTGCTGCAACCACCCAGCAGACGGGGGGAATAAAAACCAAACACCCCCCCACCCCACCCCCACTGCCAATCCTCAACAGAAATGCTCACAACAATGAAAACCTCGGACAGGAGGAAGAGCGCCACCGGGTGGGCAGGCAGGTGTCTTGCTTGGCTGTGGCTTGGGGGGCACTTTTTTCAGTGCCATTGTAACTGTCACTAAGCGAACTGTTGTAAGTCGAGGACTACCTGTATTTCATCACTTTTTTCCTTTTTTTTTGGGTCATCAAGTTTTTGACACCTTGCTAGGCAACTGGTGGTACTCGGATATTGCCATATCCTAAAAGTGGTACAATGGGTGAAAAGGTTGAAAAGCCCTGCTCTAGGTCAGTGCAACTGAAAACCGAACGCAGGACAGTGGGCCTTTGCGACTGGGGCAAACCCTCCTTCTGTCAGGGAAGCTCACTTTGAAGGAATTATACTTTCTCCACCAATCCCTCATAGAGTTGCCCTTCAAGAAAAAGGGAGAAGGAAGATGGAATATTCTGTGCTCCACAGTGACTTTTCAGAGGATTTTAAAAAAAGAAGAAGCTGAACCTCAACTAGAATGCAGGATTTGTTGCATTGGTTTTACTTTTGCAGAGACACAGAACTAAAATCCAGGCTGGCCAGTTCAAACTCATTCATGAAATTCTGGACCCTTCCTTAGGAATGCCAGATCACAATTCTGGAATGACAACAAAACCCACAGCGGACAGAATTTTCTTGACACATGGGAGAAAAAAGTGTGTAATTTCAGATGGACTAATGAGGCCTTTGAGTGGACTATCAAGGGCTATGCTTTAGGAGAAGAACATGGACTGAACAACAAAGATGGGCCACTATTTAAATAAAACTTTAACTATATTAACAATTACTGGTTAGTTAACTGATTTCTCCGTCAGTTATTTAATTTCTCACAACCAATTCCCACCTTTAAAATAAGGTCAATTTTCCAGCTTTAAAAATGACATTACTTATATGCAGTTATTTCATCTGACACCCAAACCTCTCAACTTAGCCACTGAAAACTTTAACTGTGAAATGAATTAAATTGAATGACATTCAGACCAACATGTTTTTCAGTCCCACCTTAAAAGAACTGACATGCTACTAAGAAAAGAAAAATGAACCCTGCATGATTGCCTAGATGGTGAAGACTGGAATGTCTACTGACGGATGCTACAGCCACTTAGCGGTCAGGAAGAGAAAGGGGAAAGAGTTTTAAAATGAGTGTAGCAATAGCACATAGACTTATATACCACTTCACAGTGCTTTACAGCCCTCTCTAAGCAGTTTACAAAGTCAGCATATTGCCCCTCAACAATCTGGGTCCTCATTTTATCAACCTCGGAGAAGGCTTTCCAGAAGAAACAAAAAAGAAGCTCAAGGGAGTGGGGGAGTCAGGGACATTTTGGCGGGGATGAAAAATCGTGGTGAGCATTGGGGCAAAGATGAAGAGATGATCTGAGCTGGCTGAAAGAAACAAGGCCAATGAGAGGGCCAGGGATAGGACTGGTGTGACTCCACCAGGACAGTGAATGGGGCTGGCCATGCAAGGGGATGGAAGAGAAGGAGATGGGCTTGGCAGCCATGCACATAGGCCTGTTCTCCCGAAGGGAAGGGGGATAAAGCAGGAGTAATCTAGTTCTAGAGGGACACAGCTTACAGTTGCACAAGCCAGTCAAGAGGAGGTGGTTTGGGCAAACGTTGAAAGGAATCTGGCAAATGCATCCAAGAAGCAGACCACAGATGGTCCAGTTGTGGATATAGGTTGTAGTGCTCTTCTCTACGCTAATGCGAAGTCTTAACACACATCTGCCAAGATTTCCACTCTACATGTGGAAGACAAATGAAAAGAGTTCTTACCTGCAGGCAGCGTTCACACTGATATGGCTTCTCTCCACTGTGGACACGCTTGTGGCGCTCCAGATGGTACTTCTGGATGAAGCGCATGTCACACACGTCACATTCAAAAGGCTTCTCTCCTTTAACAGAGGGTAGGGAGGAGCTAATTATTTCCGGAGTTGTAACCCCTATACTTTTAGAGGAAACAAGGTGGCAAGAATCCTTCTAAGCAAAGATCTAACCATACAAAGCAGAGATTCCTAGGGAAGACATGCAAGACACTGAAGCAAGAGATGTTCTTGGTGGACTGTATGCTACAGGACACTCCAGACCCAAATGAAAATGCGATGTCATTTCTCACTCTTCCCTCTCCTAACCTTACTTTTCTCTTGGCAAGGCAGGCCCCGATTGTGAATTTGGAAGCCCTGGTGTCTAGTTCATCAAGAGCTGGAGATTATTTCTGCAAGCCTATTTCTACATGGAGGAAGCTGCTCTTCGTGCATCCAGTGTTTTAGAAAAGAAATAAGACGAACCTTTTCCTTACAGTCCCAGGCCTGAAGGAATAGATGGTTCTCTTCCATGATATCACAAAGAGATATTTTTAAAAAAATATCCCTTTATTTAATTCTAAAGATGAGCACACTCTAGGGCAGGGGTGTCAAACTGGCAGCCCATGGGCCGGATGGGTCACACATAGGGCACGCCCACCCCAGATCTGCAAAGGCAAAAAAATGTCACAATACGTCATATGACACAATCGAATTTGACACCCGTGCTCTAGAGATTTGGTGCATAAATAGGCAGGAAGCTTTAGTACTTATTAGAGTGATGCGTATTTCAAAAATGATCCAGGATTTGGAAGAAATGTTCCAGGCCTTATGCCAGGGGTTTTCAAACTTGGCCCTTTTATGACTTATGGACTTCACCTCCCAGAATTCCTCAGCCAGGCACTCTGGCTGAAGAACTCTGGGAGTTGAAGTCCACAAGTCATAAAAGGGCCAAGCTTGAAGACTCCTGCCTTATGCAAACACAATATGTCCTTGCTGTTTATTTAAAAAGCCTGACTTTCTTCAGGCTTGCAAGTTGAAAGCGATTTTTTTAAAAACTGGCTACTTCAAGAATCACATTAACTTTAATGGATTAACTACTTGAAGCATCAGCTACTGCTGCAATAGTTTTTCAGGCCCATTGGGCAGCCTGGAAAAAGTCCAGCGACTTTCATGGATAACAGAGAAGAACTGTGCTCACCTAAAATCCAAAGTATTCCTTCTGAACCTTTTTTTTTTTTAAAAAAATAGGCATATTACTGAAATTTACTAGGCAATTAAAATACTGGTTAATAATTTGTTCGGTTCAGATTAAGAAACCCTCCCCCTTTCTGCCATGTGAAAGATGGCAGAAGAAACCAAGAGTATCTCTTCTACAGTAACCAGAGCTACTTTGCCACTCCATTGGTTATACCAGTGGTGGCGAACCTATGGCACGGGTGCCAGAGGCGGCACTCAGAGCCCTCTCTGTGGGCACGCGCGCCATCGCCCCAGTCCTAGGCCTTCAGCTGGGTTTTATAAAACCTTTTCGCTTTAGGCCTCCGCCGCCGTGTGCAAAAAAAAAAAAAGGTTCAATCTGTCAATTTCAACTTCTCGTGGGGAAAAAAAAGATCTCGCAAAGTTGGAATTGATTGATTGAACTTGTTAGTCCCACCCAGTCTGCGGTTACCACTGCAGCCACGCCCAGCCAATGGGACACGCCCACCCAATGAGCCACGCCCATCCGGCACCAGACGATACATAAGTGGGTTTTGGGTTTCAGTTTGGGCACTCGGTCTCTAAAAGGTTCGCCATCACTGGGTTATACTATAGATTTCAGAATGCTTGGAAGAATGAAGTGCGGAATATTTACAGTAAGGTTCCATGGCTAATCTACACGAAGACATGTAAACATTGCTCTCTCCTTGATATAATTCATCAATCTCAAAGGTCCAAATTACTTTTAAGCCAGCATCCAGCCTGAGCCTTTGACTGATGCATTTCAAAGAGAAGAGCGCCATCTACTGGTAGCCCAAGGACATGGCAACTGACCGGAATGATGTTTTAAAGCTAACGATTTTGTTCCCTGAACACATAAACTGCAGAACATTAAGTCTGAATTTGAGAGAGGCATCGATACGTAAGGATTCTGCTATAACCTGGATAGAAATTGTTTCAGCGAATGGAGAACAACATTTGATCGCCCTTTTGCAGGTTGTGGTGAATTAGGTCTCTGCATCACAATCAGTACAAGTAGTCCTTGACTTACAACCATAATAAAGCCGGCCCATTACAGTTATAAGTCATGACAATCATTAAAGCAAGTCGCCTGTGTGACTGATTTTACAATCTTTTCTGCGATGGTTGTTAAGTAAACCCACTGTTCGCTACGGGCTGGTTTTGCTGGAAATTAGAAGTAAATGCTGGGTTTTTTTCGGCGAAACTGTCATAAAATGTGACCATGGGACACTGCAAATGGTCATAAATGCAGGCCACTTGCCAAGCACCTAAAAATGCAGCCGCAATGTGTGTGCACGTGTGTGTGTGTGTTCGAATTTCATAACCAGGTCGTAAGTACCACTGGGGAGATCTGTCACCACTATTACCAGTCACTAAGCAATTGGTCATAAGTTGAGGTAGTGCTACTAAACTTCCTTTACTACACTTTCCAGTTACAAGACTTAAGACTGCTGAAACTACTTCCAGGGTGAAGATAGGAGCTCACACACACACACACACACTTATCATTTACAATCTAGATCAAGGTCTGACACACACACACACACACACACACACACACTGCCTATTTCCGATAGCAAGATGCCTTAGTTAAGCTTATCAACTGGCAAATGACCCTAGGCTTACCAGTATGAATAAGGATATGTCTCTTAAGGTGATAACTGCTCCGGAATGCTCCAAAACAGTGCTCGCAAATAAAATTCTTGGGAATCCGGACCTGGAAGGATCCATTCTGCTCTATCACCATTACCTGCAAGCAAGCATAAAACAACTTCTCAGCAAACAGGCAACATGCCTATCCAGGCATATCTTCCAACTGAGTGTTTGCACACCTGTCAGGAGGTTTAGCTAAGACATTTGTCAGTGCTTATACAGTACTTCTGCCTCCTCTATAGACCGGGGGGGGGGGGCAACCCCATGTCCGTGGACTGGCACTGATCTACGGCATGCCAGAAACCAGGTCATGCAAACAAGCGGAGCCACATCCACAGGATGCAGGCAGCACACAAAACCACGCTCCCTCCGGTCCACGGAAAAACCTCTCTCCACGGAACCAGTCCCTGGTGCCCAAACGGTTACGGGGATGCTGCTACAGACTGTCCACTCTCCCCAAGCCATAGCAGAATGAATTGCACAACACGGTGGAAGAAAACAAAGCACCTCTTACGTAACTATTTTAAATTTTTACAGTTGATATGTCATGGTTTTGACAGATAAAACTCTTCAAAGAACTTTGAGGCATTGTTTACCAAAAACTGGATTCCCCTCCCCTTAGCACATAGTATCTAAGCACAATCCCCTCCTCCAATTAACAGTCATAAATCACATTCTCCAATTAGTTTGAAATGCAGGCTTTCCCTCCAGTTCTCCAACCCACCAATTCTTATCATCTCTTATTTCAATAACCTTGGTTCACAAACTAGGTTCAGTATTATTATGTCTAGCTAAACTCACTTGCACATTCCTCCCCCCAGCATCATCTAACTCTAGGTCTAACTCTAAGAGTAAACCATAAGAAGAAAAGGGTTGCATCTCCATCTGTTGTCAAAGCAAAAACATCGGATGTTAGCAGCGTTGACATGATACAGGTTGCCTCTTTAGCTTTGTTTGGTATGGAACAGATTGCCTGGATTTTTTTTTTAATTACACAGATGTTCTGCTATTAAAAATGCAAAAATATCTGATATTTGACCCCTAGTGGAAATAGGTTGATCTTCAACAGAAACAAGGTGGATATTTGCCCACTTCCACTTAATCTCATTTAGCTTAATATATGATAGGCATGTGCCAAGCAATCTGTTTTTCCTCTGCATTTGAGAAGTGCGGAGTGGCTTGTGAGTTTCCAGGCCAGGAAGTGATTTTTCTTGGGAGCATTACAATCCACTTCCTGTTCGGGAAACACACTTCCAAAAATGCACAAACTCCTCTGGGCTGTTTTGGATAAGATTGCAACATTCTGGAGAGGAACTGCTGTAATTAACATGGAGCTTCCAGCAAATATCTGCTCTGCCTCCAACAATTTATTTCACTGTCTTGGGTGTTATGGGGCAATTCCACAGAAAGAAACCCAGCCTTCCCTTGAGGGTTTGTTAGGGTGTCTAAAAGTATTGAGCATAGTCTGTTAAGAGCAGATGGGCAGTTTTAAAAGAGAATAGAAATCTTGGGAAAATAAGTAATCTGACAGCATTAACCCTAACTAAATATATAAAATGCACTTTGGCCCAATTCTGTTAATCTCATTTACTCCAGCTGAATAGTATTTTCTTCAATTCTTATGGTTTACCACCAGAGATTTATCCACTGAACTCAGAGTACAGTTCCAAAGACACTAAGAGAGGGTTTTTTATATTTCATAGAAAAACAATATTTATTTTAAAAGGTCACATAATGATTGCTAAGCTCCTATTCTTCATCTGAATTATCCTAATGCAATAGATGCTGGATGCAACAACAGTATCTATGTGCCTTGTAATTCGGCCATAAGAATTAAAGTAGATTCAAGGACACTAACTAACCATATTGCTACAACCACAAGCCACAGGATGATGTCTTATAACAGGGGTCTTCAAACTTGGCCCTTTTATGACTTGTGGACTTCAACTCCCAGAATTCCGCAGCCAGCGTGCTGGATGAGGATTTCTGGGAGTTGAAGTCCGCAAGTCATAAAAGGGCTCAGTTTGAAGACCCCTGTCTTATAATATGCAGCAGACACTAAGTGAGGGGGGGGGGAAGCCTCATGGTCAAGCATCTGACAACTTGTCTGACTAATCCTAACTTTCTGCCTTACAGCTGTATTAGATGACAAATCTTATTGGGTACCATGACTAGGGATAATGATCATTAACAGGCTGACCTGTTTGGAAAGGAGCAGAAAGAAATTTGGCACAGATGTTGCACAAGCCTAACAATAAAGTTCTCCTATTTCTTATTCTTCAGAAACACATGAAGAACTATTTAAAATAATCAAGCAGGTGGAGAAGTTAACTATTAAATTTATTTATTTATAAACAAACAAATTTATGGGCCACCCATCTTACCTCAGGGTAAATCTGGATGGCTTACAATCATAAAAAAAATGTACAAAGATAAAAGCTTGTGCTAGACAGGGATGCATTCCCATGGAAGTTTCATGGGCTGTCATACACACTGTAGCAATGGCTGTGGCTTTGCTTATCTTCAGCTTGTGCAAACTGCTAGATTTTTCAGTTCCTGCTGATTTGGCCAGTCTAAATTACTCTCAGCCAGCATTTGGCTAAGAGTCCATCTAAGGTTGTCCTGAAAAGTGTGCAGAAACCCCAGCAGTTTATTAAGGGGTAGTGGCCAAAGTGGTTTTAAATGGTCGTCTTCTCACAACGTATTATACAAAGTCCCCCCCCCCCAAAAAAATCTGGTTTTCATTGGTTCCCAAAGCACAAGGCAAAGTACTGGTTATTAATTATTAAGTTCTCACCTGCCCACCTGCATGAAGCCGCTCAAACCCTGCCGTCAGCCCTTGAAGCCCTGCCCATGTTTTGCCAGCCTAGCCCCAAAGGCTTCCTTGTTGTGAACACAAGGACAGGCCTTGTTAGCGGTGACACTCCTGCCTGGGAATACCTTACAATAACAATCCCACTTACCCCCTTCTGTTGAATATTGGAAGGCTGGTACATGCTTTTTCTTTCATCATGCTTTTTAACAGTTTTCATTTAGCTGTTTTGCTCCTGATTTTTAAAGTGAGGCGCTTGCTTTAAGCCTGTCTCTTGTAACTCTTTCTAAAACTGAACTGTACAATCGGCGCTTTCATTATTGTTGTTTCACATATTTAAACTGTAAGCTACTTCGGGTTTAGAAACTAGGTAGAAATTTCCTGAAAATAAGTCACAGCCCTGCTCACCAATATGGGGGTGGGTGTTGGGTGGGTGGGAGAACACACTTCCACAGCTGATAGCCTCTGTTTTTTAGTTCCATCATCTGACGGCTTCTGAGGCCTTCTTTGGAGGGCTGGATCTTTACTAGGCCATATAATGAAAGATTACCTGCCTTTTTAAGGGATTTTTTAGGAGGAGACCCTTCTGCTGTTTCTTCTTCCTTCCGACTACGTGATTTCTCGCTCTCCTTGCGATGACCCTGGTGGACAGAAAGGAGGACACTGGCTACAATGGCTCAAAATTTAAATCTGGCAATTTGAAAGCCGAGCCTCCCTTGCCCCAATCCTGTTTTCTCTGCTCTTGTCATCCAACGTGTCTGGGACAGAGAACAAC